CATAGTCATTCATATTTGTATCACAAGTGGCGCGAAGCTCAGCTTCGCTTCTGTGTAAGATTTTGACTTTAACTTCTAAATTACTCAAAAGGTAATCCGAGCCTTATCTCTAGTTATCCGAAGCCATATTGATAGTACGTGTTCTGATAAAATTTGAAGAATTCGTCAACTCTAAAAGTCAAAATCTGTGGAGCTTGTTCAGCACTCTAGGAGCGTTATACGCATTCCTTTTTAATCTGAATTATTTTGATTTAACGTTTTCTGAAAAAAGATGAGTTCTCTAAAGCTGAATTTCTTAGCTATGAAATTTGTCGAACACAATGAGCTTTTTCATACGCATTCACTATTCGTCCGAATTCAGTATTACAGAATAAAGTAGATGCTTATTTGATTCTCATTGTCTGCTGAAACAATTTTTCAAAAAAAATTTTCAGCACCAAAAATTCTGCGGTATATTCTAATAAATTCTTCGCTTAAGTCTCTTAAATGATGTATATTTTTAATTGTTGAAACATTGAGGAAACAAGAAAATTTTCTTCCCAAGTTCCGGCATTTTTTTGGAACACAGCCAAAAATATACAATCCTATAAAATAGAATCAAGGTATGAGGTATATGAAAGTCTCTGAAGTTGGTTTGAAAAATTTTTTAAAAGCATAAATCTTCGTTCAACTTTGAAATTTTGTTGCAGATAAAATTGAAGTGCTTCTGAATTTTCTTTCGGTTGTCAGATGACGCCGCCAAATAATTCATATCACTGACTTCAGCTACCGCAAAACCATATTTTGGCTTTAATTTTCTAATGAATTTGACTGCAAACTTTGTACCCATTGTCAATATTCTTCTAAATTGATTCAGTCAAGTGTAGATCAGCTGGTATTGATAGGCGTTTTTTTAAAAGTTAATTAAAGAATTGCACAAAAATAAATTATTTCTTTAATAAAAGACTTTAACATTATTGATATCATTTTCTCCAAAGTTTTTTTTTTGAGGGCAGTCAGTAGAGATATAAAAATATCGAATTGCAAATATTGAGAGACTGTGAATGTTAGGTTTTTGGGACCCAATTTCAGGTGTTAGGATTTGAGCTGTTTATGGAATTAGTAAAAACAACCAGCTCACCTCAAGTAAAATTGGAACGATTTACAATGTGTGAAATTTCGCCTCGCGTAAATTATGCACAATACACTTTCAGCATCAAAATTAAAAATGAGCAGTTAAGTTTTTTTTTTATTAGCCCCCGGCCTGCAAAGTCGTGTTCCAGTGGGTTAGGCACATGTCTCTCCATACGAGGGTCATGCGTTCGAATCCCGCTTCGATCACGGCTGGAGGGGTCCCAGTGTCATCCGCCTCCTCAAAGTGGGACCGGCTGCGGCGAAATTTAATGACATCTCCCCCTCCCCCAAGGTTAGCAGTTAAGTAAGACTGGTTGCAGGTTAATATAGTGGTGAGCGAACTCGAAAGGGCCCACGAAGGCCCAGGGATCCAAGCCCGACAAGATTTTTTGAAAATAGGTCTGAATATAAAAAAATCACTCCGAGCTTATCTTTTCATCACAAGTGTATTCCTCAAAATTCGGAACAACAAGTGAAGGAAAGTGGCGAGTTGTTGGTTTTCCCACATGTGACTTGCATCTTCAGCTTTATAATGACACTGCTCCAGACAACGCGTGAACCCCTTCCCAAATTGATAGACAAAACATGAGAATTAAGTGTCTATCAAGTTCCGCCTAAAAATAACTGATTTAAAAAACTGAATTAATTGACTCTGATGAAAATTGTTAAACTAATTATTGAAACAATGTCGGGCCAAGTAATTTTTCAGTTCTGTTATTGGTCGTTTTTAGATGGAATATTGTGTACATCAAGCTCATCAGCTTCACAAAGAACTAACTTAAGCCCAATATTTTACATTCCTTGTATTGTTTGCAATGTTTCCACAAGAACAGCTCTCAAAGTATATATGAGGTATTGGGTAATTCGCAACTTCAAAAGAAGATATTTCAAACTGTGACCCGGTTAGGAGTTTCCAAATAATTTAACCTGGCATGTTTCACAAATTGAACTCTATATCTTAAATAGTTGCAGAGAAAACGACAAAAATATGAAGAAAAAATCGTTCATTTGCTCGTTGAAATTGAAAAGTTATAACTTCGATGTCCCATGACTGTAGAAACAAAAATTTTTTAAAGTTTGTCTTTAGCTTTCAAGTTTTTGGTAGATTAGATTCAAGCCGGTTTGATTGCAGCGAAATCAAATCAAATTTGATGTCAGTTACTGCTATTTTTTTGGTTTATGGGAAGAGTAGGGGGATGGTTGGATCGGAATAAAAGATGGCTTGGGCGGTACCTATGTAACTTTCATTTGTTTAAACAGTTTGAATTCTTTTAAAGAAGTAATCCTAAATTGTAGCAAAACAGATATCGAACGTCGAGTTTCGTGGCAAACCAGAACAACAATATACCAGTGGAGAGAGACATTAGGACTGTCAGAATCTGCGCAATACTGGGTTAACAGAAAAGAAAGCAAAAAAATTTGACAAGATATCCCCCTATAAAATTGGAAAACGATATTTATCTGATTTTTAGATTGCCATTGAGAATACAAAAAACAAATTAATTGAGAATACAAATTAATTTACTGCAATGATTTAAAAATATATAATTTTTTTTTCTGTTTTTTCCAATGATAACGATTTGCAGAAAAAAAACAATCACGTTAAGATATGACATGGGAATATATTGTTTACGCCAAGGAGAAATTGTTGAACTAGATATAAGTATGCTTGTTTTGTTTACTGTGGTCGCTAAAAATTAAGCCCGTTTGACAGTCAGTTCGATTGTCGAACGGAATAAACCCGGGTTGACTATTTTGTGTATTTTGCTATGATTGTGATCGGAACTTTCTGTGGTCCTTGCACTACAACCGGCTATCCTTAATTACACTTGTGGAAGCAAGTGTATTCTTATTGGTTTTTCCCCGTAAACAACTCTTTTTTACAAATTTTGAGCTTGCTTTATTATTAAATCTTAACAACTTACAGGTTGCTTTGCACTTGGCCTAGAGGTAACGCCGTTCGTTGCCTTTGCACCCTAAGGTGCTGAAATTAAATCCCGGAAGGACCTTGTTTTTTCCAGTATGTATGCAATTGAAAAAAATGATCCTGTAAAAATGAATTTGTTTGACTTTCGTCTATCTGTTCACTCAAGTTGTGTCAGCGGCAACTCACAAAATTTTTTACACAAGTTATCGCCCTCGGAGAAGTCAATTTTCGGATTATTTCACCATTTTTCTGAATTTTTGAATTGTCTCAAAAACTAACCTCCCATTTCTCCAATTTTGGGTTCAATCTAAAAAACGGATTGTAGAAACCCCTTTTGCATTCGTGACTACGCCCAAGTTTTTTTGACATAAAAGTTATGGCCCTCGGACAATTAAAAATTGTGATTTTTTCATGAAGTTTTTTGAAACCTAGTGATTTTCTCGAATTAGACTCCCAAAAATGAGTTATTAGGTTCAACCGGCATTAAAGGTTGCGTGAATTTCTTCTGCATCAGTGGCTACGCCAAATTTTTTTTAACGAAGCAAAGATTCTAGGAATTGTCGAGTTTTTGATTTGCTGACAGTTTTTGAACTTTTCGTTATAACTAATAACTATCCTGCCAAATCAGATCATAGGTTTAATCGAAACAACAAGTTGTTAAAAGTCTATTTGAAAGTCTTCATAAGCTACGTCCTTTTTTTTCAAATAAGTTGTTCTTCAAACAAGTCAAAGTTTTGAAAATTTGACCGTTTTTTGCAGCTTTTTGACTTCAGCGACCTCTACCTATTTTTTGCAACTTTTCGGAGAATCAAGTTTTTGAAATTTTGACCGGTTTATAGACACTCCTTGAATGTTCTTGAAAGCTACCCTATAAAATCTGAGATGAAGAGACCAATCGGAAGAACTTGTTGCTAGAATTGTTACTTCAGAAGCGGCGACTCTTTAATTTTTTGTAAGAGAAATGGTATGTCTTTGGGGAAATTCCAGTATCTCAAAATTTTTCTTTCGCACTCATTTTAGTAGAGAAACAGTTACGGTTGTGGGCAAAGTCCAATTTTTGGCATTACGCATAACATCTCGCGTAACAAATTCGAAAAATGTTAAAAACGTACCTCCAGCTTAAGCTGCGCGCTGTCCTTTATCAATACATACGAAAGTTTTGGGTCACTTAGTTTTTTTTTTTCAACATTTTTCATTTATTTTCGACTTATGTATTTTTTATGCTTGTGTTGTATCGCAAGTGGTACGAAGCTCCGCTTGGCCTGTGTTAATTTTTGGGTTTTCTCTATGAGCTCCAGATGCACTGATTTTGGAACATAGAACTCTATGGCCATGGGCTTAGTGGGAATTTGTTAAGAAGTAGGTTTTCGACCACTTTAAATTAGTCATATTGAAAAATCTGGCTTGCTAATGCTTGAAGTACTCAATTGGATGAAAAAAGAGGGCAGTTAGTGAACATTTTTTCTTTGTTTGATAAATAGCCGGTAAAAACTTGGAGAAGCGAAAAACGCATGGTAAAGTTTAAGAAACTCGCCTCAGTTATTTAAGAAACTGGCTTCAATAACCTATTTGTAAGTGTTTCTGATTGTTTTTCAGTTTAAATACTTATTTATATAGTTTTAATGAATATCTGGTACAAATTTTTCCTAGAACAATGGAATTTTTTGTATGGGACCATTCTGCTAAATGAGTACCGCTAAAGGCCAGAGACATCTCGACTACGTTACTGTCGCTGCCAATCATCGTGATTCATGGACATCGTGATATCACTCAAATTATTACAAAACAGCTGAAAACATCTCGGTTCTTTTCAATTTTAATTCTCGCAGCAAATTATCACCAAAGTAAATAGTAAAACCAAAGTGTAAGGGTTGGGCTTTAATTTTTGTAACTGGGAGGGGAGGACGTTAAACGGGAAAACAATAACATCTGTGTCTGATTGTGTTTTGATTACAGATTAGAACATGGACCTTCTGCCGACTGCGCCAGATGCTCCCGATGGCAACCACCGATTGTACTCGGGCGACAATATCAGAGTTCTGTGTTCCAAAATGGAACAGTGCCTTTCGCCGAATTTTGCACAAAAAGACGTCAGCGAGCTGCAATATATCCTCTCAAAGGAAGAAGAGATGCTGGAACTTCAAATGAGGGCTCCAAAAACTATTAATATGAATCAGAATATACAGACGGTAAATACCATTTTATATTACGACTTAGTTGATTTTGTGCACGCACCGTTGCTTTGAACTGACAAGGCTTCGAAGTGTTGCCCAATTATGGTACATGACTTTCGATGAGTTTAAAGTTGTGATCTGGTCCGTTGAAGCATTTTGCTTGGACTGCTATAATGGACCAGTATTTTGATATTGATTAAGCAGTACATTTAGAGTAAACAGAAGAGAGTTAAAAAGACTAGTTTATTATTAATTTACGGCGTTTAATATCTGGCGAAATGTCACAGCTAAAGCTTCCATAGTATCCCTACAAAAAGACAAGAAATTGAACTATTCGGAATTGTTTTGAATCATTTTGTTGACTTTCACTTTTGCCACTATCCTTATGCCATGAAATGGACGTTTTTTTTGATGTTTGTGGACATAATGTAGAGGAGATAACCTTCGAGTGGGAATTTTTTGTTCAAATCCAATACAAGTCGGAACAAAACACGAAAGCGCAAGAATTGAAAGTTTTTAAAGCGCAAAATTTGAAGCAAAAACAAAAGCGATATTTAACAAGAGGTACATTCTTTGCAAATACAGCAGCACAAACGATTGGGCTCATTATCAAGGTGAAAGAACATCCGAACAATATAATTGCTGAAGTGTAGAAAAATTATAACTATCAATAACGTTTGATCATGGAGACTGACATGTATCTGTCAAAACTGTAGACACCAACATAAACTCAAATGAACTCATTATTATTATGATTGTTATTGATTATCTTTTATTGTTTTCCTAGTTCATTAAATACCACAAAACGAAGTTAAGACACTGATTTGGGCCGGTTATTTTTTTACGCTTGTGATGCGCAAGCGTTTTCAAATCGGAATATAGACTTTTCAGGTTCACAACTTGGTAAACAAAATTACCTGAATCATTTGATAGCGTGATTTATAATAAGTTCAAATATATTGTCTCTTCCGGCACACGTGGCCTAGAGGTAACGGAAACGCCTGAGACGACAAAGGTATTAGGTTCAAATCTTGTTTCAACCGGATTTTGTTACAACCATTGAAGTTGGAGAGGAACTTTTGTTTTCGGGTGTGTTTAAGTTTTTTGTTTTCTACTCAAAATCAGGGGCTATAAATAGTCGCCAGAATGAATTCAGAATAAATAAATTCAGTCGTGATCCCAACATTTTAACAAAATTTCAAAACAATCTCAGTCGAATGAAAACGGATTCGAATGTTGTTATTTTGTTGTCTAATTTCGAGCAATTAGACAAGCGAGCGAGGTGTCATACTGGGCTCAAACTAGTCTAATTATACTAATTAACCTAATTCGTGAAAATTTAATTCTTTTCCAGTAAAAATTAATTATTGAAGTTTCTTTCATCGCTTTTTTTAACTAAGTTTGGCAAAAAAATCTTTTATTTTTTATATTTCTTTTCATTTTTCCAGGAAAACTGATATCAATTATACCTAATTTAGTATTATTTTTTAATGAATATATTTAAGTTCTCGCTTTTCGTTCAGGTCCTTTCATCACCAGGAATAAAAAAAACGCTAGCTTGTTTTTTTTTTAAATATTATTCTGGTCGGAACATTCTGTGCTACTTGCTCAGCAACAGGCTTTTCTTATTCTTCTTTGTTTGTGTGTTTGAGCGGAATGAGCCCAGTGATCTTTCATATTTGAGCCCTGTTTTCGTGATTTGGGACACATTGAAAAAATTTTCCGAGTATCGAGAAAAACAGTTTTTGAAATTTCGATAGTTTTGAAGTTTAGTTTCGAGCGAGTGAAGAGAGCGATTAGTTCTTATGACAGCAAAATTTTCTTTCAAACTTTCATGACTTAGAACAACTATTTATGCCTTTTTCACTATAAGTTGTATAGATGTCTCATGCAGCGCACAATAGTTGTCACTTATTTGAAGAAAAAAGTTAGAAATTTTTCTAGTTTTTTATTAATGTGTTCGGAACATTCTGTGCTTCTTGTTTCAAACTGAAAAAAATCCGTTTCAAGAATTAGCCCATTGTTCTTTTATTGTACGCTTTGTAGCTTTATCGCGAAAGATTCTGCTCTGTAAACAATTTCTCATTGTAAAAGAACGAAGTGATTGTCTTTTATATTGGTCGATTTTTTCTTTTAGATGATTTTGGTTAAGTTTTGTTTAGGAGTTTCATGGACAAAAACTTGTAATCAGCTATAACACAGATACGATATTGTGTGTGCGGAGATTAAAAGTAGTCTCTCTGGCTTTTATAATATTTAGAATCCTTCTTTTTTTTAGCTGATAGACCATACGAAAGAAGCGGCCAGCTACAATTTGAGAATGGAGGGTACTTTATCAGAAAGAGGAGCCCAGCTGCTGTCTTCAGTTAAGAGCATCGAGAAGCTATCCAGAGAAGTATCTGAGCTGCAAGAGAAGCTGCAGAGTGCAATCGAATCTTGTGGACCCGAATCTCAGTACTACAATTTGCAAGTAAGTTGCCCTTGTTTTTTCTGAATGACTTGTTTTGTGGTTTTTCTAATCTCTCCAAAAATCAAAAAGCTTTTTTATTTTATTCCGAACCCGCAGTGCAGGAAATTTTGTACGCAATTTTTTGAACCAATTGTTTAAAAAAATCAGCTAACAGAAATTGCGTGATATATCATGTTGAAACCTTTACAGCCACGGTTTCATGAACTAAAAAAGTTCGATTTTTTGTGGTCATCGCCAATCAGCATAAAACTTGGGGTTAGTTCAAAAATTCGCGTATCGGAGTCATCAGAGTTTTTTTAAGCTTACGAGGGAGTATTCAAGTAACTTTGAAACCTAGTTTTAGTTTGGCCAAATTGAAATTCTAAGTTTCCTTTAAATACTTGATAGCTTCTTGCCGAAGCATTTTGAGCCACAGGCGAATTTTTAGATGAAGGTGTCCTTAAATTAAGGTTTTTCTCCGCTGAATTTTCTTTCGCTTGACAAAAATTAAATATCGTTGTATCGTTTGTGTGCTCATTTTGGTCGGCTTAATTGCTATGAGTTTTCCTATGACTTGAGCATTTATTATTATAATTTAAAAAACATTTCGATGTATTCCGGTGATGGTGCAGGAAAAATCGCTCCAAGAGTTTTTGCTAAACATTACTTTGAATCGTTTTTTGCTCTCGTGTATTGTTTCTTTTTACACAAGCGTAGTGTATTATTACGAAGAATTTTTTTTTCTAACCTAAGTCGCAAATAAAAGTGCTCAATTGGTGGTATATTTCAAAAGAAATATGGAGATCTCTATCTCAAGTGGCTATTCCCTAAATTTGGTAAAAGAAAAATAATGGACTCAAAAAAGCCCATTTTTTGACTTTTTGCTAATTTTTAAAATTTTTTGACTTCTTCCAACCCGGCCAAATCGGAGATAAAGAGTTTAACTGAATAAAAACAAAAAACAAACACTTATGTGAATTTTTCCTGCGTAAGCGGCTATGCCTTTGAAAATGTCAAATTTTTGAATTTTTGCCCGTTTTTTGGGAACTTTTTTTCAAAAACTAACTTGCTGCTTCTGAGGTTGATGATTCATTCAAACTGACATGTTGCTTAAATTTTACCTGCACAATCTGCTTTACCCTATTTACCTATAGAAAAGCCGTTTTTTAAAGCAATTTTATCACAATTCTCGAAGACTACTAGCTAAATCTGATATCATGGATAAATTTCAAAAATTAGGATATGGACTTCTTCCCTGCATAAGAGGCTATTCTCATGCTTTAGTTGAAAAAAGTTTATGGATTTAGGAAAAGTCAAGTTTTGAATTTTCGATCTTTCAGAATCTTTTTCACTTTTTTCCAAAACTACCCAGCCAAATCTGAGATAGAACTATTGAAAGAGCGAGTAGCAGTTTTTATCTTTTAATTAAGCGGCTTATCTTCTATTTTAGCAGAGAAATTTCTATGGTTTTGAGTAAAGTCCGTTTTTTGCGAGGACATGAGACTCCAAATGCGAGGATACGTGAGACTCCTAATGCGAGGACGTGAGACTTCTAATCAACGGGTCGGAGATTCAAATCCGGAACACTGATATAGTTTTTTGTCGAATTTTTGCTGCGTAGCATTGGCAGTTTGATAGAAACTGTAGCTGCTTTATTGCTGATTAGTGTTGGTGAAATTAAAAGCGGCCGTGGAGGAGATGTGAGAAGTTGATACTCCTAATTTGACTAATATTTTTTCCCAAGGTGTATTTTAATTTTTTCCTTATTTAACTTTGTTTTGCCTGTTTAGAGCTTTTTTGTATTTTCCTCGCTTGTGTTTGCGAAGCGAAGCTTCGCCTCTGTTTAAAACAGTTGTAAGGTGATTTATAGCGTTCCTCAGATTTACTTTTCAGAAAACTTTAAAGTTTCTTACAAACAAAAAAAAACATGCAGAAATGTTTTTATTTATTAGCAACCTAACTATTTTTTGAGGCTTCGACATTTGTTTTTAGCTCACAAGCTCACAATAAAAAGTCCTACCAAACGTTTAGCGTGATATAACTGTCTGATACTAGATGCTTGTATAATGCGTATTGTCTTCTCTTAATAATCGTGATTTTAGAGTTGACGGAACTGTTTTTGATTTTTAGCAATGCAGGGTCCACTCTCGTCGTACTCTTCTTTTGATATCCACAAGTCTTGAAAAGTAGACAGAGAGGCCAAAACTGAACCTCCGATCCAGACACTGTATTTCCTCTCAGGAGACGCAACCACATTCACTGGGACCCCTCCCATCTCAATCAATTCTTTCTCGAGTCGTTCTGCTATTCCAGTAAACATTGTAGTGCCTCCCGATTGCACAATGTTTGAGAAAAGATCTCGGCGGATATCGGCCTAGCTTTTTTGGATAGCTTTATAAGTCATCTCGTGTATTCCTGAAACTGACGCCAAGTCTGTCAGGTCAGCTTTGAACAGAACTTCGGGACATCGGAATCTTTCGTTGCCTAACACGATGGATTTTCCGTCAGGGAGCTCGTATCTTTTTTAAATACTACATGGCTTTTCGGACTCTGACATTTCTAGATTGAAGTCAAATGCAGTATAGCACATTTTATCTTTGATGTCTTTAACTATATCCATTTCGCCAGAAGCTGCAAAGTTGTAATCCCTCTCGCGTCGGATCCGAGCAAGGTATCCGGTCAAGTCTTGACCTGCGAGGTTCATTCTTCGGATGGCATGGTGAAGAGAGCACCCTTCGTAGATTGGTACTGTATGTGCAACACCATCGCCGATGTCTAAAACACAACCTGTAGTTCTTCCAGAAGCGTGAAGAGATAGTATCGCTTGGACTCCGATATACATCGCTGGAACATAGAAAGTCTCGGACATGATCTCAGTCATTTTTATTCGGTTCGCTTTTGGGTTCAGAGGTGCTTAAGTGAAGAGCACCGGGTGTTCCTGAGGAACCACTCGGAGTTTGTTATAGAGTGTATGATGCCAGATCTTCTCCATGTCGTCCCAGTTGGTCATGATTCCACGTTCGACTGAAGTGTTTTTTGAATTTTTTCAATCTTGGGATTATTTTCAAGTTTAATAGTTTGTCTTTTTATTCTTTTTATTATACGAAGCAATGAATAAAGCCGGGTCTTGAAGTTTTCTTATTAATGCATTAATTTGAAAAACAAATCGGATTTGTCCCGTTTTTCACTAATAGTTTTGTGCTTTTTTTGTAAGCGCAAGCAGGTTTTGTACGGCAATTTTTACGCCTGAAGACTGGCACTCTGAATTCGATATTTGTAGTGTGACAATGTTGTTTGGTTTTGGAGCTTAAATTATGTTCTCATCTTTTTCTATTGTTGTTTTCTTGCATCGACTCAAATTGTTTTTAAAACGAGTCGCAAATTGCAACGAAAAGTTCATCACTCGATCAAATAAATTAAGTTATTTTTGATTTTTTTTTTCAATTTTAGCTTCTGTTGTTTTTTTCGCAATATTGTCAAAATAGTTACTCGTATTCACGTATTGTCAGGTGGCAGTGTTGCAAGCAGACGAGGAGTGTGAGAAACTGAACCGAGACATGTTCTCTGGGGGAGGGGGCAATCAGAGGAAAAAGGGGGAGCAAGAGGAGAGTGGGGGGATGAGTGTGGAGCAATTTATAGAGAAATATAGAGAGAAGAGGAGAATTTATCATCTGAGGAGAGCCAAACAGCAGCAGTTTGAGAGACTCATGAGAGAAGACCTCACAGCTACACGCAACAACAACACCCTCAATAGTACTGCACACAATAACAACTCATCATAAATAGAAGAAGCTCAATCGGTGTCTATAAATTACTATTTATTTAATCTTTACTTATCATTATATTTTATTTAGTACACATTTTCATACAGTATGTTAGCTTTTCTGACAAAATAGTGAGCAAATAAAGATATTTTTGATAAAAAGCAGTTTTTTAACCCGTTTTACTTGAGTCCCGAGGAACTTAGTGAAGAGCTTATATATGACTTAGTAATTTTTGTAAAGGAAACTGTCTTAGAATGCTCTGATAGCTAAAGAAGTGCATTCATACTGAGAAAGAGAAACACTGAGTTGATAAGATGGTCATAAAGCAGAACGCATTTAATCAGGTGTACAATAATAAATAAACAAAAAAGTATTTGTTTTTGTCAGACCCAACAGTGAGCCGATAACAGGGACATCGAGTTTAAACTCTTGTTTTGGGTTAGGTGATTTCAAGATGGTAACAATTACGAGGAAATAATTAGCAAGTTAGCTGCAGCCTTAATCTTACAACTTTTCCAAGTGTTACTTCGATGTTCCTACCCAAATTATTATTTGTCAGACAAATCATAGGGATTAAGAGCAATGAACGTAGAGAGTACTCTTTTATTGGTATTCCTGATTTTTTAAAGTTTTTTCAGGAAAAATTCTTAAAATCTGTTCACGCTCAATTGTGATTTTTCGCGGTTTGACTTGTGATTTCTTTTTAAGTTCACTGCATTTCCATTGTTAAAAGTAAAGCAAACTCCACTACCAAACAGCAAAAGTGTAAAATCGCAAGAAACGCGATCGACTTCTGATTTCGAAAATTGAAATTAATTATCAGATTTCCCAGCGAAATAAAAGTTTAAGGTAATGATCCAGTTAGGTTAAACGATCTAAATAGTAAGAATTACTACGGTAAAATTTAGTTAATTAGCTGTAACCTTGATCTTACAACCTTTCCAGGTGTTATCGAATATTGGCAGCTGCTTAGAGTTACCAAAGAACTCTAAATGATGTTTGTTCAGTTGTTTTCGAACAGAGTATAGGATGTTGTCTTTTAGTTTTTCAGGCAAAACATTAAACCAATTGGAAGCCTTAGAAAAGAAAAAACGGCTTGTACTTGCTTGCAATGGTTAAATTGAAATAAGCCTCCTTAGTAATTGTTTGAATCAAAATCTTTGCTTAAAAACAGTTCAAATATTTTTGAAAAGTTTACCTTTCTAGAACTTTGTTGGGCTGTGTAAGAGGCTTCTGATATTAATTTTTCATCAAGGAACACTGTAGTTTCAGTGTTATTCTTGATATAAAAAATTACCCATTTTTGGGGTAAAATTTTGTTGGGAGAATTTTGAAAAAATTATACCTTATTAATTCTGGTGAAATTCTAACCAACTTTTCTTCACGTAATTTTTTGTCTAATCAAAACCCAATTTGACAAAAACGCTTTTGAATTTCCCCATGCTGCTCGTTTTGTCAGGTTAATTTAAATCAGCACTGTATTAACTTGATCTGAGATGAATTTTTTAGTTGGCAGACATTTCTGGATCAATCTGTGAATTCGGTTGACGGTTTCCAAGATCAGCAACAATTTTATTGAGACTTGTTAATTTTTTTTGAACCAAGTTGCTATTATTTGTTTTCTGAGTTGTGTCGCTGTATGTGATGCGTTACGTGAAGACTTTCAGTTGACTAATGGGCTACAGTAATGGACAGTCATGGAGCTGAATGAACGCCATTCTATTATTCACAACGACCTCCAGTGCATTCTAAGTCAATATGAGTTAAACAGTGAAATTTTTGTTGAGCCGATCGAAGCATTTAGATGCGCCATTTTAATTTGTCATCAAATAGGAGCTCCTATTTCAAAACTTCACAAAAACCCAGAATATAGACTGATTCAAAATGATATAGTTGCATCCGAATCTGAAGATGAAGTTTCGGACTCCATTTCTGGGCTCTCATCTTTCGTAGTAACTTTCTATGCAGACACTGAGAAAGTTTCGAACGCTTCTTTGAAGTTGTACCTTGATGGTAATTACGGATTGTCTACCAAAAATGAAATCGATTTTGCTATTATAGCTCCAGGATTGGTAAAAGCAGAATTAGACGCTATTCGATCAAGTTTTAAAGAAATAATCTCGGAGAATGAAGCTTGGAGCATATCAGAAATTGCATCGTTTCTTCCGGATTTGAAAAATCTGTTGGATGAATTCGCGAGCAAAAAATCGGAACAAATAATCCCACAATTATTAGAAAAGAATAAGTCCAGATACTGGATAGTATCGCACCATATTTATAGCAAAGTGAAGCGGAAAGATATGCTATTCTGGGCGAAGGAATATAATCTGCGAGGATTTTGTCTTCCTGGAAAGCCCGGAGTCATTTGCGTCGAAGGGGAGCCGGACTCGACTGAAGCATTTTGGAGTCGGATCCGAAAATGGAATTGGCAGAGATTACAGTTGGTTGTCTCTGACTCTCTGCAATGTGATTGTGATCTTCCGAAACAGATTAATTGCGATTGTGTGTTGAAATTCGACGACTTCGAGGAGTTGGTTTTTGAAAATGCTTCTCATACGAAGCAAGATATGACGAAATTTCGACTGTTTTTGAGTGAACATGGTTGTGAAAACATTTTTGATCAGTTATTTGGCCTAAACAGCTCAGTAACAAGTAGTTAGTTATCGCCTTAATTTGGAAATTGGTATAAAAATTTCGATCTTCTGTAGAGACTGATAATAAATTTTTTAAAATCATCGACATTTTTTTAATGAAATATATTGTGACAAATATCTGACTTTTAATCGCTGCAGCCGGTTTGAGGTGTACCGTTTTCGATCAAGCATTCTATTAATTGACTATATATAATATATGCAACCACTTGGACGAGCATTATCAAATGAAACGCCTATGAATTTTTGAAGCAATGAAACGTGGGTTGATTGCTTTGTATTAGTTGCTAACAATGTTGCTAACGAACTAAGAATTCCATCCATGCTTTTTAAAATTGATTCAAATAAAGCAGTTCTCAGATTTGAAAGCTGCTGATAAATTGATTGGAAGCCTCATTAGTAATTATTTGAACCGCATTAGAAGTATTAATGAACAAAGAAGATTTTCATTTGATGATTTTTCTTACCGCTCAGATTAATATTTTGGCGGTTTGATTTTGGTTTTTCTTATGGTTTCACGTCAAATTGGTAAGCTAAGTAGAAGGAAAATTACTCTCGCCATTTTCGAAAATTGCTCTTAGAATAGAGCTTGACTTTCATTACACGAAGTAGCGTAGTGTGATAGTACCATGCAATTTTTTCTCATATAGGTCGCAAATGTAAGTGCTACTTTTGGTGGCACTTTTGATTGAGTAGGCTGCATTGGTCATTATAGTATAATGGGTTTTGACATTTGACTAGTTAACAATTTAACAGATTTGATGCTTTTCCAATTCATCAATTGAACTGAAGAAAGTTATTTGTTTGATAGAACAGTAAAATAATGAATTTTCGGTTTCAAAAATTTTTTAACTCTATGAATTTTGCGAGATTTTTGAAATGCATAATCTATACCCAATTTGTTTTCATACATTCTAATTTATTGTTCCGACTTTCGATACGAAAGTGACGGCATATTTGTGCTCGGGGTGGGTTTTTTTTTTCTTCAGACAAATTTCGACTTTTTAACTAGCCATTTTTGACGGAATTTTTTTTATATCATTCGAAAGGTATTGTTGTCCTGAGCCTAAATTTGAAAAGATATTTCACCTGTGATCATTTTTCGTAAAGTTATGAGGGTTTAAAATTTGCCATTTTGACCAATTTGGGACAATTAACGCGCAATATATTTCGCGCTATTAACGCGTAAACGGAGATTTAATCCGTCTTATAAATCGTTCCAAATTGGTTGAAAGAAGCTTATTCGCCATAATTGATTTGTTGCAAGGAGCGAAATCTTTTGTTTTGTACTTTATATGGAAATTAACAAGGCGGTTACTTTCAACCAATTTGGGGGGATGATTTGCAAAGAAAAATTTTCAAATTTTAGAAAAAAGGTTTTTCATTTTATTTTATTTCATTTAATTTTTTTATGTTAATTACTGCTCCATAAACGTTAAAAGGCAATTAGAACTTTCAGGGCTTCGCCCTGATACGAGCAGTCTTGTTATCCTTGCGTTTAGTTTATTACATTCCAAATTATTACATGCAAAACTTGAGTTTTTGTGCATGTTAAGGCTCATGAATCTGTGCCGCTTTCTAACTCGTGTTTTCCAAGTTGCAGCTTCATCTAAGTGCTTTCAAATGTAGCCTAAACGTTTTTTTTTGTTCTGAATTACTAATCCAACAATGAAATGCCGAAAAAAGTCTTTAATTTTATTAGTCAAAACTTTTTCATCTGGAAGCTTAAAACAGGACATTTTAATAGATGGAAACCTGACATACAAGATTGTGTAAAAGCAGTGCTACTTTAAATGGCCTGTAGAATCAAATCGTTAAACTTGAGGAAAGCTACCTACCCTTTCCAAACAACACTACACAGCAGTCTTTGTGAAAAGGATAACAAATAAACTTGTAATCTCAGTTGAAAAAAAGAAATGGAGGCATTAAAGTCTGATGTAATCGACCCAATTTTGGTTCGGCAACTGAATAAAACTTGAAGCAATTGTACTCCGTAAAAAACTCTTCGACCTAAAGTTCCAATCACGTTTTTGGAAAGTAAAAAGGTACTTGCACTAGGAACAAATAAAATTTAGAATCTTCACTTATTGTATAACGAAGAATTTGCGCTCTTGTTAATTTCAAATTGCGCCACGATATAAATCTAAATTTTTGGAAATTGCAGTAAAAAAATCATTTCCTGGATATTGCACAGTCAAAAAACTCATTTTCTAGGCAAATTTAAATCTAACTATTATGACTTATGGTTCATTGTCCTGGGTAGACTTTCGGTTTACGGCAAAAACCGCAGAGTACTCAAAGAGACTGTTCATATCATGGCAAAGCCCTGATTTTTCCAACTGGCCTTTAGTCGGTCTCAGATAATCCTGTAAATAAAATTTTGAAAACTATGAATTTTAGTCTAATAACGTCAAAAAGTGAGTGTTGCAATTTGTCGTGTATGGAGTAAATTAAACAAATTGGTTGTGAAATTTTTGTTTTCAAAATTGAAAAAGGCAAACTGGCAAACTGTCCATCTATTTTAGAGCACAATTACTGGTACAAAAATTGAAAAATCTAGTTTAATTTCCTTTTTCAGTGACTATTGGAAAATTAATTTGTTGGTTTGCGTGTGAGCAAGATGGCGTCATTTACAGACCAACAACCACGACCGAGTTTTGTTCTTTTGAATATATTTGAGTTCAATCAAATGTTTGCTTATTTTCAATACTTCTAAATAACAGTTTTTACGGAATAATTATTGTACTATCTGTAATTTTTAGGATGTCCCATCCTGTCGATTGCACAAAATGTCACTACTTTTCATAATTTTACTGTTAATAAGCGTAAGCTCACGTAACGATAACAAAACTCATGGAAAACTAAGCTAGCACACTCAATTATACTACTTGTAGAGTAATTTGACTGCTCGCTCGATGTTTGTCTAAATTGTAGTAAAGTTGTCAGAACAGGTGATTGTTGTGCTGAAAATCAAATGAGTTCAGTTTGACTTGTGACTTTGAAACTAAGTTGAGAGCTATTTTGGTGCCCGAGTATTGACGGCTAACAAGATATATAGCGCTTTGTGATACCTTTGAAGAAATTGATTTGTTTGTCATTATTGGTTTACCAACTTCATCATCAATATTTACGAACTTTGAGGACTTGTGAGCAATTCTTTTGATTTTTGTTGATATCTTTGATCACCGAATTAAGTGCTTCGTTTTCGTTTGGAAGCTTGGTCTCAAATTTCATTTTGTTATCTCACAAATGTTAAGGTTGAAATATCTTATCGCAAATAGTATCTATCGAAGTATTCGAGTTAAATCCGGTAAATTGCTCATTTTAAATTTTTTTTGCCTCTTTTTGTAAGTTTTCAAGTGTCATGAAAAAATTACGAAAGCTTAATTTGGAAAAGATAACACTTTTAAGTTCCCGTTTTGCTTAGCTTGTTTATATTTATGTTAAAGAAAATAGCATTTTATTTCGGTTTCATGATCAAAAAAATTTTGCGCCCTCGGAAAACTAGTTGAAAATGAAGAGAACTGGTATTTCTGGATAGAAAAATCCCTTCGTCAGCATAGAAATAAATTAAAATTCTGCCAAGATAAAGATCATATCAACATCTCTCAACTGATTTGAAAGTAGTTTTACTCAACTCAATTGAAATTTCTTCGGTTTTCCTGAAAAAAGAGATTGAAACAGTGCCATCGCGATTTAGTTATTATTTTTGCTCTTCCGTAGGTTTGTCTAGTTTGAAGAGAATTGCGGAAAACAGTAGAATTACAAGTGGTTGTGATGCCTTCGAGTAGTGTGAAGAAGACACTTTACTACAGGAAGAACCAGTCCGCTTCCCATTCCTCCTCCTCTTCCCCCTCCCCCGTGCAGCAGTACTCCCCCCACTCAAACTCAGTCTCCTCCCATCCTCCCCACCCCCTCGCCCATTCCCACTACAGCAACACCCCTACAACTACTTCCATTACTCCCCCTGCTGTGAAGTTGACAATGGCTGCTGTGTTAGATGAATCGGATGATCCTACAAACAACACCAGTAGCTTCAGTTCAGGTCAACACAATTCTTATGCATTCAAACACAAAGCACAACAATCTGTTTACGAAATGATATGTCTGTCAGCGTAAAAAAATCTGTTAGCGAGAGATGCTGTGAGGCGTTATAACTGAATTATAATGTAAATGAATTTTTGTTGGGTGTAATTAAGAGTTAAGAGCAGAGGGCGGATATAGGATTTTCTCTTTGAAGATTCAAAAATGTTTCAAGTAGAGTAAAAGTTTTTTCCGAGCTCTGCTCACGCTAAAAAGCCCTAATGTTTTGCACTGGAGACCAGTTTCTGCAAAATTCAGCCAAAGTCGCCGTTTTTGGGCTCATATCCGATTTGTTTGACAAAATTTTTGTATTCTCCGTTGGGACTCCCTCAAAATTAGTATGTATAAGTCCCAAATTAAGTTTGGTTGTCTTTAAGTTTGTTTGTCAAACTCCTGTTTTTATCAAAACAGGGGCTATAGAAATGCATGGGATTTTTTTTTGAGACAAGCTTAAATTTGTTGCGAAAAGTGAAAAAAATTTCCTTAACGATTTTTACCGGTTTTCAAAAATGAACAGACCATGCACTCTTTTGTGTGCATACCCCTTATCCTAGTCTATTTTCGCCTTACTCCACTTTGTACAGTCTTCGAAAGTGTCTGTTGGGGGGAATATTTGATTGATAGTTTTGGATTTTTATTCATGTTCTCAAGAACTATCCTGACAAATTTGTGATTTTTGGTTCAATGAAAAGAACGGGTTGTGGGAAGCTCCCTTGCAAAAGCGTTGGTGCCCATTTTCTTACAGTAGAAGTTATGGTCGTCAAAAAAGTCATTTTTTTTGGTTTTTACAGTTTTTTGAAAGTTTTATCTACCATCCCAAATCTGTGATTTTGTATTCAATAGAAAACTGATTATGGGAAGCTTCTTTGCATAACTGCATCAGAGGTTACGCCCAAATGTTTTTTGCACAAAAATTATGGTTATGGTCCTCGGAAAAGTCAAACTGTTGATTTTTTGACCGTTTTTTGAAACTTAAAGTTTTCTCGAAAACTACCCTGCAAATGCTCAAAATAATGGGTTTATAAAAATAATGGAATATGGGCTTTTTCGCTGCAAGATCAGTTTGGTCCATTCCTAGTAATTAATATTAGCCTTCCAAAAAGTCAAATTTGCTATTTTTTGTGATTGATTTTTGGAAACTTTTTGACCTTTCTCTAGAACGGCTCTACCAAATCTGAGGTTGAGGGCTCAGTCTAAGGAACAAGCTGTGGAAATTTATCCCGCAGAAGCTGCGACATCTTAGTTTTTGTGAGAAAAAAAGTTGAGGCTTTGGGAAAAGTCCAATTTCTGAACTTTTTGCAGTTTTAATGCTATTGTTGCAAATTTTTTCAATCTCAAAAACTACCCTGCCAAATCTGAGATTTAGAGTTCAATCGAAAAAACAATGTGTAGGAACTGTCCCTGTATAGGTGGCTCCGAGACTATGGGTTCAATCGGAATAAACGAATTGTGGAAATCTTCCCTGCTGAAGCAGCTACTTCTTTATTTGATGCCTCGAAACCTTAATTTGATGCCTCATTTGATAATTTTTTGGAAGTTTTTTTTCAAAAACTGCACCGTCAATTCTGATGATTATGGTTCAATTGAAACAACTTGATGCAAAGCTCTTCCCTGCTTAAACGGTTAAATCCTTTACGTTTTTTTTGGGTTTAATTACGCTAGTCTTAGCAAAAAGTGTGTGAGTGTTGTCATACAAGTCCAATTTTTCGCACATTTTTGTTACACCGCTAAGTACTACATTTTAAGATATACGGTCTTATTTTCAAGCGAGTATTTTCACCAAAATTAATTGATTTAAGTTGCTTTTTTAATTGGTTTAAATTTTTCCTCTGACGTAAGAATTACAAAGAGTAATATGGATTGTATTGTGCTTTGTCCTGTCGTGCTCACACTTAAACTACAGCCACCACTTCGAAGAGTATGAGCAGAAACAGCAGCCACACTCCAAAGCAGTTGAGGCGCTTGGTCAAGGAATTGAAGCCCCAGTTCACCACTGGAAACTTCTGCAAACATTCAAACCACCTGTAAATCAGCCATGAGAGTCTTTCACTGTAATTGATCTCATAACCCAAGCAAACGCTTGTTTCAATACGAGTTTACTTTTTTACCAATCTAGCTAGCACAAACTTGTAGTCAATTTTCATGTTACTTTCCATTATCTGTGTCTTTACGCTAGCTAACTTTAGTGAGCGTAGTATCATAGTAGGACACTTTTTTTACACTCGCGAAATTTAGTGAGCGTAGTGTAATTAATAGTACGATTATTCTTTTCTTCTAACCTAGGTCGCAAATGTTACTGCCAATTCTGATGGCACCTTTACGTCTTTTCGATAACATATGCTTTGAAATTCGAATAGTAACAAGTTAACACATGAAATGTTAACATATAGCTTGTAATTCATCAAATGAACCGAAAAAAGCTGTTTGTTTCAACCACCATAACAATAATGAAAACTCAATTTTAGAAGTTTTCTAACTCAGTATAACTCGCAATTTTTTGAAAAGCAAAGTTTATAAATAATGTGTCTTTATGCTTTCCAATTTTGTACATGCAAAGTTAGAGTGGATGCCTTCAGTTTGTTGTATTCCAAATTATTGTTTGCGAAGTCTAGTTGTTTGGTGCCAATTTTGCTGCATCGCATTGGCAATTTGTTAGCTTACGTAGCTGCTTTATATGTGAGTAGTATTTGCCTATTGTTAAGCGTTCGTGGCCCAGAGGGCAAGGCGTGAGACTCCAAATCTCGAGGTTGCATGTTTGAATCCAATACGTAGCAAAGTTTTACTAATTCGTGGCTTTTTATTTCACTTTAAAAAGCTGCTTTTTGACGTTCTCGCTAATGATTGCGAAGCACAGTTTTATCTCTGTGTCAATAATATGGAGTGAGAGAAATGTAGATGTACCGAAGCATGTTGAAAGAATTTATCCAAAACTTACCAAAAATGAGCTTGTTAATAAGTTTTATCTTTTATTTAGACGCAACGCTAAAAACTCTTATGGACGCAGTTCTCAAGCAATTTTTGTAGGTGACAATGGTTAAAAAGAGTTAGGGATAATGTGTAAACGAATTGTATGTATGTCCTTGAAGTTTTTTCATTCCAAAGTCTGAATAAATTTCAAGTTGTGATCTTTACTGAAGTCAATATGTCTAGACATATTAGCTTGAAGTTTTGAGCGCTTGGCAGGTCAGCGCAAGGCGAGAAGGGACAAGACAAGGCAGCGCTGTGTTGAGTAAGGCAAGGCAGCGTAGCGTAACGCAAGGAGGGGCAGGTAATTGTAGGGCAGGGCAGCGCAAGACAAGGAGTGGCAGGTCGGCGTAAAGCAGGGCAGCGCAGAGCAAGAAGGGGCAGCGAAAACAAAAGGCAGCGAGGATGCGCAGCGATAGGCAGGGCAGCGTTAGGTAAGGCAGCGCAAGGCGTAGAGCAAGAAGAGCCAATGCAAGGCTTGAATGTTCTAGAAGCTTTCTTCAATCCGATAGTTTTTCAATATTGTCTGAAAGTTTTGAGCGCTTAGCAGGGCAGCGGAAGGTGAGGTGGGGAAAGGGCACTCGCGTAATGTTAAGCAGTGCAGCTTAAGGCAAGGATAATCAGGGCAGGGCTAGGAGGTGCAGTGCTGCACAAGGCAAGGAGGGGCAAGGCGGCAGGTCAGTATAAAGCATGGCAGTGCAGGGCAGGGGAGAGCAAGAAGGGGCACGAAGAGCCAGGAGGTTTGCGAGGCATGGCAGCTGTGAGCAAGGGAAGCGCAGAACAAGCGTTGGGGCAGGGCAGGGAAGCGCGAAACAAAGAGGGGCAAATCAGCGTGGCAAGGCAGCGCAAGGCATGACTGGGTAGTGTAAAGCACATAAAGGAAAGGCACATCATGGCTGTTCTAGAATCGTTTTGCCCCAATGTCTGGATATTTTTCAACTTGAGTTGTTTATTTTGGTCAAGGCCAGATGCCTAGACAGATTGTCTAGGAAGTTATGCGAAACACTTTGTTTCAAGTTTGCTCGCTTAAGTGGCTTTATATTAGGAGTGGGTTTCTTCTGCCAAAACTTAACCTTCCAAAATTGGGTAGTTAGGAGGTGTGGACGATTTTACGAATTATTCGAAATTTCTAAAGAATATAAAATAGACATTAATTTCAAATATAAAGTTCCACACCTAATTTTTTGCATAAAATATTCCGTTGTTGCCTGCTATTGGCGGTGTACTTTAGGGTTCGGATTTCTATGACAAAATTCCACCTTTCAGAAGCTTGTTGATTAGAAGACGTGAAAGATTTTACAAATCTTTCAAAAAATCTTGAAACTTGGAAAAATTTCAAATTCAAAATTAAATTTTTAAAATTTTGTACCCTCTCTTGCATGTTTTCGGGAAATTTATTTGGGCTAAGGTTTCCAATACCAACACTTAGATGCTCGTATATAAAAAAAATTGGAAGATTTTACGGTTCATTCAGAACATTCTTAAAATTAAGAAAAAAAATTCAAAAGAATTTTAAATTCTTTTTTGTACCCGAACCTGCATGCTGTTTGGTTGCAGGAGTTTAATTTTTGTTGCAATTTCATTTCAAAATTTTCACTCTCTAGGATTTCATACTTTAGAAAACATAGACATTTTAACGAATCTCAATGCTTAAACTTGAAAGAAAAAGAAAAAAATATAATATTTTAATTTCTTTATTATTTAATAAGCGAGACCGATAATACATGATACTGGCTTGATTTATCAGTGCACATTTAACCCTACAAATCTTCCGTCACAGGTGCACCAACAAGTTTTCTGGGTTTGTCGATTCAGAAAAAAATCACTTGGTTTTACTTTTCCTGATACTAAGAAACATACATAAATATTTAGGGTTGGCATTTGGGGGTCATTATGCCCGTTGTCTGTTATATCCGACTCTCATTTGTTTTGACTGCAAACGACGAATGGCTCAATATTTGTTTGTGATTGACCGGAGACGTTTTTTCTTTCTTTTTTTTCTGTTACGCCATGAAACAACTGTGTTGTTGCTCAAAAGCTTGCTTGATAAAGCTAACTTTTTGCAGACTGATTCCGCTCTCAAAACATCTTTCAATTTCTCAATACTTTTCGCCTACATATCCGGGGCGAAAAAGTTTAATACATTTGCCGACCTTTTAAAGATATGAAAACAATCTGAAATGTTTCAAAGTTTTATTGCTCATAAGCTTGCCTGAAAACGATTAAACTTTTCTGGATGGATTTAACCTATTGAATCAGCCGGAAATTCAAAATTTATATTCTTGCTCAGCTTCCTTTAAAAATCGCTAGCCGATTCACGATATGAAACAAATGGATTTTTTTTTTTTCATTTTAATCGCTCAATCGGTTCCGCGAATCGAATCTTGCAATTAAAACATTCCAAATTTTCTGCTCATGCTCATAAGTTTGATTAGAAAAAAGCTGAGCTTCTCGCTAATAGGATCAAGCTTTAATTTCAAATAGTTCAAAATTTCTTGAGTGGCTTTCTTAGAAAAACTTAAGTGTTTGTTAATCATTTCCTGGTATAAAATTTCAGTTTCATCGCGTGCTCAGAAAATTTTTAACTCTTACGAATCGATTCACAGTATAAAATAAGTAAATTTTAATGCTTTTTGCGAGCCGATTGATAAATGGAAATGGGCTTAATTGTTAGCTCTTAAACTCGTGATCTATTTTGTAGAATATTTTAAAAAGGTTCAACACATTTGAGTTATCTGAACGGAGATTTTTGTTAATTCTTTAAATTTCTGTTTCATTGATGCTTAACTTGTTAATATTGTAAAAGTTTTGCGCAGATGGAAACTATGGTTCTGACTTAGAGGAGATATTCCCTTGATCGCACCTGCACTCGGTCGCATCTACGCCTAGGACTATCATTGACTGAACTCACTGTGGTCTTTCCTGTTTCGAATCAAGCCGGAAAGTTTCCGAGGAGCACTAAAGTAGCTTTAATGAATAATTTGCTCTGGATTTTTTAAGCTTCACTACTAGTTCCCAAGTTTGAGGGTTCAACAAACCAATAAATGATTGAAAGCAAAATCAAATTATTTTTAAATGTAACAACGGAAAAGTGTAAATTTCCTCTTTTTTACTGTAATATAGTCGCTGAAACGGAAATTCATCCACTTGTTTTTTCAGTTGCATGATTTCGTTTCTGCCTCAACACATGGCGATACAAATTACCCCACACTACTTCCCCAGCGGAAGATTCGGACCCATGATTCTGGACTCCCAACTAGATCATCTTCACCCACCTCTTCTGGGAAGCAAAAGCGAAGAGGAATATATGTACACAAGGCTCTTCTCTTTTCCAGTTCGCCTTTTGCACCCCTTCCCCAGGAGATATTCCAGAGGAAAATAAATTATGGCAAAGTTTTTATTATGGCCATTTGCACCATAGAATTCAATTAAAGTTGCTTATAATGGCTTCGTATGATGACCAGGGACGGCATAAATATTGCGCATACTAAATATCCATGAAGTAAGTTTAGGCACCTATTTAATTCGTTTGGTTTTGCTTGTTTTCGAGGGGAAAAATCCTAAAAGATCTCTATGTTCTGAGAGTTTTTTTTGGCGGTTTGTTTAATTAAGTGTCAATAGTGAATTTGAATAGAGAGCAGCCTGATTTTAGTGGATACAAGAGTAACAATAGTAAACCGAAAAGCCACAAAAGCACAAGAAGTACAGTTTCAGATAGAAACAACCAGAAGTTGGTGGTCAGAAAAATGGTCAATTTGCTGGAAATCGAAGACGATTTACTTGAACAGCTGAAACACGAAGTACTCACGCTTCGCAAGTTATGCCATCCGAACATTCTTCCAATTTACTCGGCCGAAATCGAGGGAAGTAATCTGTTCATAGCGATGCCTTTCGCTGAACGAGGGTGTTGTCGGTTCATTTTGGAAAAGCACTTCGAATACGGCTTCAAAGAAAAATTAGTACGGCATATTTTAACCTCGGTTCTCTCAGCTGTGTTTTACCTTCATGTCAATTCAATCATCCACACCAGAATTTGTTCACGAAATGTGCTGCTTTCCTTACAAGGTCATGTTTACTTGACTGGGTTCGAATATGCTCAAAGTGTAGCCCAGACAGCGGGCATGTTGTTTGACCTGCCTAAAGATATCATAGATTACTTGCCCTGGACTGCACCGGAAGTTTTGGCCCAAGATACCCGCGGGTTCAGTTTTCCAGCTGACATCTACAGTGTTGGTGCTCTGGGTGTGGAACTGAACAACGGAGTCCCGCCCTTCACAGATCCAACGAATCCTCTGGCGCCGTCGTTGATTATGTTGGAGAAGTTGAAAGGCTTCACGCCTCGATTGTTGGACAGCTCCACGATAAATGAAGATACTCTGACTGTCTTAGAAGAAGGTGAGGCCAAATGTTGCATGTTACAATAATAGACGCCAACAAGACTGCTCGTATATCAGGGCAAAGCCATGAATGTTCCGACTACCCCTTAATTCATATCGACCATTTTTTGGGAAAAGAAAATATTGAAAAACTCTACTTTTTGGACAATATCAGAGATCAAGTGTAAAAATTTGAGTCGTACGAAGTTAATACGATCGATTAGCTAGCTTCAATTCAATTTGTTGGAACGATTTTGTTGTGCCGGATACTTCCGCACACAAATAATTTGCGTTACGCTTTCAAGATTCTGGATAAAATTTTCAAAGTGCACATAAACTAGTCCAGAGCATGGCCAAATTGGTAATTTTCAAACTCTCAAAACTTTGCAAAAAATGATCTGAGGTGAAGTATCTTTTCAAATTTGATTTCAGGAAGTCTGAACATTAGATATAAGCAGTGGTAGTTAAAGGTTAAAAACAACTTGACCGACCCATCAGTGAAAGTCAATTTTTTATCTCATTTAAAGCGAATCTCTTCAGAACGTTCCAAGATTTGAAAATAACCAATAGCTCTTTGAATTTGTAGAACAATTTTTGATTAGCACTTTTTTGTTAAAATTAACCCAATTTGAGAAAACTGGATCAAAAGGTAAAAGTTGTTTTCAGGCAGAAAATACATGAAGTTCACAATATAAGACATTTTAGAAAATCTCGAACTTTTTTATATATTCTGCGGGAAAACAGTTTTTATGGCTATTATATGTGGAACACTGGTGAAGTAGTTACGTCTCCGCCACCCAATCAAAAGGTCGGATGTTCGAGGCCCACCATGATCCGTGCTTAAGGGTGAGGAAACATTACCCAGCCCTGAAAAATAAGCAAAATAAAATAGCCTAGGCAGGGGCATCTTAAGCAGGGGCAAAACAGCGGTTCGCCATGATGAGCTTAGAGCTCTTATGTTGGTCCTTTCCCTCGTGGATAAATGGTCTTAACTTAACTTAATTATTTTAATGTGATACATTTGTGAAGGTCAAATGACGGACGAGTCAGCCCAGATGGACATGTTAGTGTTCAAACAGAGGACTCTCTCTCAGGACTACCACCAGTTGGTGAACACCTGTTGCAGGACCAGCCCCTGGACACGCCCCACGGCCGAACAACTGCTCAAGTCCTGTCCATTCACCAACCCCATCGAACAGAAGCGCATGTCCGGCTCAGGCAAGCTGTCATTGTGCTTAGTTGTCCTTTTTGAACATCTTCAGGTCCAAGTTGTCCTTGAAATAGTTTTTAAACGTTTCAATATGCTCCGCTAATTCAACTCACAGCTTTATGGTTTGAGCTTAAATGAGTATGCAAGATGCTGTCCTAAATCTGATGTGCTCGAAAACTGAAATATCTTTGCGTGTATAGGTGAACTGGAGAGCGAACTACCCATCATAGACTTGCCAGTGGACGAGAAAACAACCGAAGAAGGGGAGGGGGAGGTGAGTGGGGGGAACAACAAGTCCACCACCTCCGTAATCACCACTGGGGGAGGCACACAGCTCGGAACATTCGAGACGATCGAGGAAGAGAACGAGAGCCAGCTCAGTTCCCACCTACCACCCGAGGATGGATTGTCCTCTCTGAATGCGTTGAGTGCTGCCACTCCTCAGGGATTGTGGGGATCCTTTTGGAACTTCTAAGAGCAGAAGCATCCGATTGGCCTCGTTATTTCAATCTCTCGAAACGTGAAAAAGATAGAACTGTACAAAAAAAGGACAAATTAATGATTGCAATTGCAGAAAACAACATGAAGGAGATCATTTTATACACAGGAGAGTTCAGATAGGTTAATACACGTAGTATCATAGAGTGCGATGAGAAATTAACTTATCCACAGCTCGAAAGGGTGCATTTTGTTTGAGCAGTTATTATATTCACTGTGGTTATTTATGTAAATTTTGATTTGAGCTCACTTTTATTGGTGAAATCTTGATATTTGATAAAGGAAATGCAATTTATCGTTACTTAGAAGCATTTTAAGATCGAATAGATTTCTAGGAAAGGTCGAAAATTTTATTTACCATCGGTAATTATGACAAGAGCATCGAAAGGCGAGTTAAGAAATGGTAGAGCTAAGACGATTTATCCACAAGAGAAGGGAACAGCATATGAGCTGCACAGCTCTGCGCCGAGCACCGATGTTGTGACGCTGGCTCAGATCTATAAGGTATTTCTAGGGCTATGTTTTGCTAACTTAAAATATTGCTAGCTGTCAGTTTATTGCAAACTAATACAATTGCATTAATTCGAAACCGTGTTTAAATTTTCTTCAGCTGTGTAAGAAATCTTTAACCAGTTATAGTACAGTTATTTGAAAATAATCAATTTAAAAATATTCCTCAAAATTTAACTTGTTTACCCTTGCGATAAGCAAGGAAATTGCAATCGGGTACTAGACTGTTTACTGTAAATAACTTTGTCCACAAGATCTGCACTTTTAGAGGATCTTCACTTCTAGAGGAAGATGCCTAAATAGTATCATCCTCCTGAAGAACCTAAGTACTAATCAGCTCAAACCCGATTCAGGTACTAATTATTTTTTCAAAAAATTTTTCGTTTTCGTCCTAGTTTCTGTCGGTTCATTCTCTATTTTTTTTAAACGCCATTTTTTTAACTATTAAACAGTTTCAGTTTGTGTGTTATCGACTTAGTCAACCAATTTTGCGGAATTTTGTTGTCATAAAAAACTTCTTAAAGTTTAAATTTTTCTACGACCCATCCGAACTGAAACACAATCCCAAACGGATATATTTTGCCCTCAAAGTTCCGCAAAATTGGTTGACTAAGTCGATACAACATAAACTGAAAATGTTTGATAGTTTAAAAAAAAAACAAAAAAAAGGAAAATTGAATTTTCCTCATTTAAATTTAAATCTATTTGTTTTAAAGAAAACAAAGCACTTTTTGAAAAATTTTCTGGTTATACAATTTTCTTTTTTCATATGCAATTTTCATAATAATCTTCATGATAGAAGATTGTATGGAAATATCTAAGAGATTTTTTTGGTGTATGAAGATCAACTTTGATACGCTTCGAAACAGCTTGACACCTTTGCAGTTTTTCACGCATCGAAAAATATATTTTGGTTGGCTGGAATTACTTTCTGACTTTCGGTTCTTTTGGTTATCCAGGTTTTTGTCTGGAGAAGGGTTACCTGTGCTGTGCCGGTAGACACTGTGGATGAGTCATCTTGGCCGGAATAAGGGAGAGGAATGAAGTCCTCATCTGGGCCGAAAAGATTAGTACAGGGGTTGTTCAGATCACACTGCAGATCGTTCCACTAACAAAATAAACTACTCTGATAGCACGTCAAGCTTAGCGAGAAAAATCGACTCTTCGTTTGAAATCATTTCCGGAATTTTTATCTTTTTTTTGTGAAGATTCACGCGAGATAAAAAAACAGAGTCCACAGATAATGGAATTAAACACAACTTAGTGTTTTGTTTCTTCCCTGGCAGTTAATGCGCGTATCTTGAGATATCCGACCAAAAACTGGAAGAAAACATTTAACACTCGCTGTTTATTTAAGAATTTATAGTTTACAAATTAAAAATTAACATTATATTCGACTGTATTTTTTGACAGGGTCATAATTTTGAATTCAAAAAATCAACAACCTGGAACATCCAAGTCTCAAAATGGTAATCAGATAGTATAATTTTCAGCACCTGTTGAAGAATGACAATCTGTCTGTTCTTCACAGCCTGAGGCAGATCGCAATCCTCAACATCCTCACGTATGGTCAGTACATCATACCTCTTGTATGGTCTTCCTCTCGCATGGTCAGTACATCATACCTCTCGTGTGGTCTTCCTGTCGTATGGTCTTCCTCTCGTATCGTCAGTACATCGTATGGTCAGTACGCTCAGATCAATCATGGCCACTGGTCCATTGGTGCCCAGCTCAGTCGGACCTCGTGGCCATGATTGGGACAGGCCACTGCTCTCACATTCGAAGGGGGCATCATACCATCTGGGCGGAATAAGTTATATTGGAAGCCAGTATCAAGATGAAACAAAAGAAAAAAGGAAAAATTTAATATTTTTATTTAATAAGAGAAGTTAGGATTTCCGATTACAGACACAAAATGAAAAGTTCAACATTTCCGATTCGATAAAAACATAAAGTAAAAAGCACTCGTGATGTTAAAAATAAAACTAAAAGACTTCGTACATTTTTGTTTCATGCACAGTTCGATCTTGCGTTTGGCGTTGATGATGAACGACTCATCGGACATGGTGTCTTTCCGATCTTCTGATGTGGGCCAGAATAGCAGCGGAGCGGGTGAAATTCAGCCTAAATACTACTCTACGCATGAGCTCTGTTTGTAACGGGCCCCTTGCTTAGATAAAGTTCATTTAGTTTTTACCGTTTTCTTAAAAATTGATTCGAACTCCAGTGAGTAGTCCATATACTCATGAGCGTCCATGGCTTCTGAAACAAATTTTAAATTAGTTAGTCTACTAGCATAATTTCAATTAATCGTATACGAAGTTATCCGAAATGGCACAACATTGGAAAAATTTCCATTACCATTTGCAAGAAAAGTTTGAGCTCGCCCGCAAAATTCAAAATTCATTGATTAATTCTCAACGATTGAGTGAGTTCGAAACTAATCGAGCTGTGCCGTTGACGAAAAAAAGTTGCTTCAGAAATGTTAACAACTAATGAAAAAACTTCTCAAGTTGATATTACGGTTATTAAAATCGTATTAGAATGAGTTTATAATGAATTTGTTTTCAACAAATCACCTTCAAGAGGTTCCAGCTGAACCCTATAGGTATGAAATAGGTTTCCCTTCTCGCTGATTCGGAAGGGTCTCTGAAAATCAGCAGTAATTTGTGAGATAGTTCCCATTAAATGTTTTTTTTTCGCGAAACATAAATCCGTTTTCCTGAAAAGTTTCTGCGAGTTTTGAAAGACATTTCTAATAAACTGTGAATTTTTGTACTCAATTTTTTGTTAAAAAAGCTTTTTTTTCTGTTTATTTAATCTTTTTTGCTGCCTGGTTAGTAGAAACTTGGAGCCATCAAAAGAGTTCAGTGGGCTGGAACATGGTGGATCCCTTTAACTATCCCCCCATTTTTTGCACTGGGGGAGGGTGGTATTTGTTACCAGGTATCTACAAGGGAAGGGATAGTTAAAGAAAGTCGACAGGGTGGATCCAAAATTCTATCAATGGTTACTCCTGTTTGCCGGGATGTCGGAGCCTCAACAGCTGTGCCGCGAACTCATTCGTAGTCGGAAAGAGTGGACAGGTGGACGGGGACTCATTCAGACTGTCTCTTCGTCCCTTCAGCTGGCGAAGGGGGGAGTCTATCAAATGGTGACTTGATAATTTTTTCTGAGTCACAAATTGGGTCGATTTCATCTCTGAAAGTGGATGCATTCTTTCAAACTTTTTTTCTGAATCAATTTTCTACAAATTGAGAACTAGTTTTCTTTCAGCAGCATAAAAATTCGCAGCATAAAAAAACTGTCAGCAGCATAAAAACTCGCAGTTTTCAAGGTTTTTAATGAATGTTTTTCTGATCAAATCATATGAGAATATCGAGTAATTGATCGAATTGCTTTTCGCTGATGACAGAATTAAAGATCTGCGGATTGTTCTTTTGCGAAGTTTACCTCTGAGAATCTCTTTTGGCAATGAATGTCGCCTGTCTTGCCTAAATTTTTTAAAAAAAAAAATTTTTTTTCAAATTAACAGCAACCAACAAACTTCGATTTTCAATTTAGTATCTAACATTTGACTGGTAAATGGAGACTTTCTGCAAACTAAAACACAGAAAAATGAACTATATTTTTTTCTCTCCCAAAATCACCAAAATGATGGAAGCAAAATAAGAAACTAACTTCTCGACGGCGTTTCAGGCTCGACAATCTGAAACAAAACGCAAAAATTCAGCTGTGAAATTAGTTTTTATGAAACTCGTCTCCAATTTAAGTTTGAAACAGTTCGGAAGCAATCAACAAAAAATATACCTGAAGAGATGTCAGTTTTTATCTGCATCCTCTTTTTCTTCAGTTCGTCTATCTGGGTCATATCTTTTGGACCAGCTTCCCTTAAAGATTAAAACTTCACCTAAAATTGTTCAATCTCCTCCGATTGAGATGAAGAGTAAAAATATTCACCATGACTTTCTTTTCTCGCTCGATCCTTTAGTGGAAAACGATTCTCTTTGAGAGGCAAAGGAAGCTTTCCTTGCTGAAACAAAAGTTATCTAATCAGTCTTTTCATATCGTAAAATACTGGACGCACCGTTGTATCGACTACCACAGCTTAATGGTATCTTGCATCAGAATGATTAAAAATTACCTTTTTCTGGTAAATTATCGGGGTTTTGGCAATTTGGATTTTTACATTGAGCATTTTTTCATATCGAAAGCGGCAATATTGCGAAAGGGACATTTTGCAAGTAAAAACATTAAGAATTCTTCTTAGAACATTGAAAATTTTAACAAAAAAATTCCCCTATCGAAAATCAGAATAGATTTATGAACGGATTTGTTATTAATTTTCATCGTAACTTAGCGCGTTTAACCATAATAACAAGTAGAACAACTGTAAAAATAGGAATTCTTTTTAAATCCAAGTAACCGACTCACCAGGCGCGGAAAATTTGCCCCCCAGTTTGCTCTGACTCATCTGAGACCTCTCTTGCAGAATGGAGGAGGAGCCAGTGATTCCAGGTAGTGTCAGTCCCCCTGCTCCTCCCCCGCCGATCTGTTTTTCACTAGAAGTGGGGGCGGATACTAGTGATTGTCGTCTTGGTTGAGGTTTCTTTTTGGTACTTGCAGTTTTCGCCTAAAAAATCTTAAAACTATACATACAGAAAACTTTGGCAAAAAACTTCAAGCGTATTAATACCAGTTTCACAAATATACAAAATTGATGGTTCATAATTATTTTTGTGAAAATATTTTGATTTTAAAACATAATTAACTCTAATGCATTAAGATCTGTTCGGTT